TTGGAGAAACAGAAGGCACTGACTTCCCTCACTGAACTCAGACTTGGAAAATTCAGCATCGTGCACCTGCACAAAGTGGTTGACTTTTATATGTAGACCATCATCTGATTTGCATGGTAACAGGAGTTCAACTCCCAAGAAATACTATTTCTCAACAAGTGAATATGAAGATTTCAGTGACGAGGCCTAAACGTGTCACCAGTAAGCCACAGCAGGAAGGACTTTGTTCTGTTCCATTGCCCAGTTCAAGTTAATTCACCTATCTTGCCCAGCCCTAGTGTCTGAAGGCATCCAGGCAGGCATAGCAAGGTAAAGCTTAACAACTTGCAGGTTTTTTAACAGAAAAGTGAACAATTGCATTTTGTTGAGGTAATTTTAGTTTGCTAAAACTAGAAGATGAGTGTGTGGGTGTCTGTCTGTGTGTGTGTGCGCGCACGCGCTTGTGTTTGCTGTTAAGACTGTTTAGGAGTTTATTTGTGCAGAAGCAATACATGTCCACTTGCTGAGCTGACCGCCAGCTCCACTGCTTGGTAACAATGAGAAGCGCTGCGCCCACATCACAAAGAGTCACGATGGGCAGATTCAGACCGCCAAGAAAGGCAGGGGGATAAAAGCAGGATCTCTGCTCCTGGGCAAGGCCAGTGTGGACATTTGCACAAGACCCAGCAGACCAATCTGAGCAAGAGTTATTAAAAACTGATCTGGAGAAATAACTGGAGAGCCTACAGTTCCTCAGAACAGAAAGGAAATGGCAACAGCAAAGACGAAGCGACCCAGATGGCCCATAAGCAGACCAATTATATGAAAGACCCAGAAGCAACTCTGAAGTTACCAATCCAGCTGCCGAGAGAGTCTGCCAGGTTGCCAGATGTTGCCAATGAAAACCTATCTTCCACAATTCATCAAAGAAGTGGAGCAGCCTGGTGAAATGAAACCTTTGCCAATAAAATAAATATTTTATCTAAAAAAGTATTTTCTACTAGGAAACATGCTGAAAAAAATATAAAATTTTAACAACATGCCCAACCCCATGTTACAGTAGATAAATAATGAAACATACATACAGAATATGTTGGCAGGATCTTCTTATTGATAGGAAATATCTGTGCTTAACATTATAGTTCTAAGGCTACAGTCTCAGATTGTGTTAAACAAAAAGTGGTTTTTATGAGGCATGGGGTTGATGGCACTCAGTTGGGATTTGGATAGTTTGCCTTGAAGCTAGCGATCAGTTTTGCCACCTTGAGATAAAAGGCTTGAAGACAACAAAGCTGGAGCAGCCAAAGGTGACAGCAAGATGTGCTGGAAGGCAGGGAGACTGCAGAAATGACAGTAAGCCATGCTGCGGCTGCCGAGACACCTCCCCCAGAGGGTGGAAAACTCTGCATCCTCCAAGACACAGCAGAGAGGGGCAGCGATTCTAGACAGGTAGCTTGCATTTTGCTCCTGCCAAATTTTATGAACCGAGGGAATGGGTATCTGCAAAGGCGGCTTCCTCTAGCCATTGGTAAAGCACCAGAGCAAGGAGCAGTATACATGTACATTGGCTTCAACACAGGCGATACAGGCTACCCGTTAGATTCATGCACAAAGGCTAGTTTGGATTTTGCTAAGACAGCAAATTAACATTTCATTTAAAAACAGGAAATTATGTATTTTAAAGATCCTGTGTAATTTTTCAAATGTGGCTATTAACGTTGCCAATCCAGTGCCTTGGAAATACTATGCCTATTCATCCTAGAGGCAAAAACCCAAACTGCCTGTATAGTCTGTTAGCAAGGCAAAACATCTCTTTTTCCAATGAACATGTATGGGTGCATCGGGATTCACACAAGCAGATTTGGCAGCTTTTTCAAGTGTTTCTTGGACTGCAGAGCAGATACTGAACATGGGGAGATTTTTCTGTTCAGGAATATGATGTGAATAAGAATGCGCTACTGGAAGATGAGCTATGGCATTTCTATCATAATTTAATTTGTCAAATATAGTTTACAATATTTTATAATAGGAATCAATAGGACAAGAAGTCTAAAAACTGCAAGGGCTAGGGTTGCAGGATCTCGCCCAGCATGTCTTTAATAATACATAATTCCTTAAATGTGCAACTAAATCACTGAAATATATGAGTTTAATTTGGAACCTTTTACACTTTGAAAATTCATATCCCTTTTTTAATAACTGGTGACAGTGCTTGCAGAATAGACCAGATTTTTCTGATTTGTTTCCTTGGCTCTTGAATGCGCTGAATGGGATGGATTCCCCAAGACAGATGTGAAAAACCTATAAAACCCAGGAATATGTCCGTTGTGGCTCTCTCCCCTGCCTGTTTACACCTCGCCTTACCCTGATGACTTAAAGACAATCTTGCAGGAGGCCTAAATGTGGCCATTTCTCTGAGTTCCTGCAACACACAGATTTATTGTTGACTGTCAGAGTTAGAAAGTATTCACACTCATTTGGGAACGCGTTTCCTGAAACTGTTAACGGACGTGACAGAACAAGAGTGGGGGAGAGGGTGGGTATTGGGAAAGAAACCTCCATAATATAACCCGTTATTCCTCCTTTGGTAAACAACTAATAGTCTTGATTATAATTTCTATTAACAAAGAATGCCTTTACTCCTCCGAAGATTACTTTATAGCTACTTGGGATTCCTGGATGGCCTGAGACTACTGAATATCCTAAGAAAAGCTCTAATTTTGCTGCTACATTTATGATGTGCATGTGCTTAGCTGCTTCAATTAGGTCTCCTGGTGTTGTCCTGTATTTAAAAGAAGCCACACTACCAGATGTGATGCCTTCAGGATAGTAAGGTAACCAGGTCTGATGATGCAGCAACAAAAGACCTGAAGAAGCTGACCAGTTCAGTGGCAGGTGACACACTGCCTCTCACCCTCAGGGTTCATGGTAGGTAGGGTACACAACAAGAAGTACATGGTAACAGCCTGGGAGAAGATAGCTACTTTTCCTTGCACCTGCTAACGGAGAACATAAAATGTTACCTGCAGATGATCTGATTTTGATGTTTTTTTCTGCCCCACTCAAGGGCATGCTGCCTGTCAGCCAGCTCCTTGGAAGAGGTACAAGCCGTACATGCAAAGACTCTCCAAACTTCGCCCCTAACACTCACAAAACAGCTCGTTCTTCCTGCCAGTCCTCTATAGCTCATGTAAGATAAGAAACTACCAGAAGACCAAGAGCTTTAAAGAGGTTTCAGGCAAATATTTTCTAAGCAGTATGACTATCCGTTCCTGTTTTCATCTGAATGTGAAAAATCCACAACGATGAAAAGAAAAATTAAAGTATGAAGAGGAAGCTATTAGTGGAGACACTGGGTTTGAGCCTGCCATGAGATCTCATCAAGCAAGCCCAATGTGTCAGCAAAACAGTGTTGGTGGAGCAATGATACCAAATGAACTGACACTTCAAAACATTAGAGTGAGACAAAGTGTACATATGTGTGCACACAAGTGTGTGCATGTGTGCGTGTGGGGAAGGGATGCAAAAGACAGACAAGTGAAAGGCAGACAAAGAAGTGCCAGAGAGGGGCAAAGAGCGTGCTACATTCTGCACTGTAGGCAATTAATGGAATAATGTACACATGAATTAACTCATTAATGATTCCTGGAGTGAATCGTAGAGATCATGAAACACCACCTGACAAGCCTCTACAAGAAAAATCTGTTTAGTAACTGAAAAAAAAAAATCCCACAAAAAACCCCAGGTTGGTTTCAACATTTATTTATAATTCGGTGCACAATCCATAAATCAAGAAAACAAAAGTCAGGGTATATTTTTAATCAAAGCTTTTGCTGATCACAATATAGGGTGTAAGAAATTGAACTGATAGATCATTTATTATTATGAAACTACAGGCTTTATATTCTTAAGCGGAGTAAAGCAGACAGCAATATATTCATATTAGAAAGTTCCTACTGTGAATGAAAAATGGATTAAAACTGAGATTGTTTAGCAAGACAGACAAATCTGTATTTCTTTTTGGTTGTGAAACTACTATAACCATACATAACCAATAAGTATGAAGAATTGGCACTGGGGGAAATCATCTTGCCAGTTTGCCCTACGCGTCTGTGTTTGGCAAATGCAGTCTGCGGGGTTTGTATTCCATTTGCACGTAATCAGATCTCTGACCTGTAACGTGTACATTCTGGAACATTAATTGGCACAATTAGAAAGTTATTTAGAGGATGAGCTTGGAGCAAAAAATGTTGTCACATCTCAGAATCCTGAAATGCAACCTGGACTTCATAATAAGCCGGTTTAACCATTTTTAGAGAGATGTTATGAGTGTTCACTGGGAGGAAAAAGTAACGATCAAGCTACCCATGCAACACACATATCTGAAGAGTCCAGCATGTGTCAGTGTACAGCAAACTTATTCTATAAAGTGACTAGCATGAGAAGGAATTAAAAAGGATTATAAAAATACACTACATATGCTGCAGTAGTTGAAAGTGATTAATCCAGTTCTTAAATCCTATTTTAAACTCCCTTTCATTTCTTCCCATAGAAAAATAGAAGCCACATTGCTTTGTTTGAATGCTATGTAGTTAATTACATCTTCTAAGAAACTCTTTTAAAACTAAATGTAATGTTTAATTACAAAATGCCTCCCTGAAAACAGTTAGCTTGTACATTGATTTGTAGTTCATTAAAAACGCTTTCTTAATTATATTTACAGCTAGAAAATACATAGAGATTAAAGAGTGGTAAGAGAAATTTTGAAATTACAGCATGAATTGTAAGGAGAAAGTTACACTTCAAATAGTGGACAACTGACAGCCAAAACTGACTAATTGCTGCCTTTCTGTAATTTCAAAACTTAATTGTAAAAATAATAATTGAAAAACACAGCATCCATTGTAACGACTATCAATATTACATTTTTTTATAAGAGTAGATTTTCAAGGACTAATTAGAAAGCAAATCAATTGCATCATACAAGTGTAAAGTTCACATTAGCTGTCGGACCGATCACCTCAACACACAGGGTTCAGAGCTAAGGGCAGCCCGCGCTTTGGTTCGTAGGGTGTTGTCCTGGAAACCATGCGGATGCAGTCGATAACAGGGCAGACGCTGAGACACAGGGTGCAGCCTGTACAGCTGTCAGTAACCGTGGGCAGGTGGGTTTCAGGATCAAACTGGATAGCCTGCAAACAGGAATAAACATTATTGATGTCACTGACGGAAAAGGTCAAAATTCAAAATTGCTCCCATTTTAGTGTCTGCATTTCCTGTGCTACAGCACTTGGAGACATCTCGGTGTGATTCTGCACTGCAGCTATAGCAACTGTTCAACTGGCAGGGAACAAAACAACGCCCCCCC